GTATATTGAAAAGGTAACCCATCTCACAGGTTTTGTCCCTTGTTCCCTTCATACAAAATAAATTGAAGAAGATATTTTTCTACAATTTGCACTCACAGAAATAAAATATAAATACGAAAATATAAGGCGAATTTTCCAATCTATAATATATTAAATGATGAGAATAGTTTTTTTGGATGATTTAAGTGATACTATAATTTAGTTATTTCAATAATACCTTATTTTTCAATTTCAATGTGTATTTAATTTATGGCTTATTAGCACAAAATGTACCTACATTTAAATTTTTTGCATTTTCACCATTATTTTCACGTTTCATTGTGAAAAACATCATTTTCATTAATTTTTATTCAATTTTTCAATTAAAAATTGTCAAATGACAAATATATCTTCATATTTAAATAAAACAAAATGAAAATGAAAGGAAAATAAGAACAAATTGCAATCATACTCCCCATTTTTTTAAAAAGGTGTAAATAAATCTCAAATATATTAAATTAAAAAGTAAAAAAATAAAAAATAAAACAATCATCTTCTTCTTTTCCCTCTTCCCACCCCCATCCCCTGTCCCCACCCGGCCACAAAATGAGACCTGAAAATGGAATCCTCATTGGCGCTAATACCAGGAAAACCATCGACTGCCACTAAACCCACAACCACCCCTTTCGCATTTGTATCCACTACGGTCCTCCGCCTTTCTTACTAAACCAACTACTACTTTAGCTATACCAACCATTAAGCCTACCATATTCTCCTTTACCCACAAAATATTGCTCTCTTGACACCAATGCCCGCATTGAAATACTTATCAATAGTAGGGGACTCTGGTATGAATATGCCCCTTTGATCCCTTCTCTTACTCAAGAAGGATTCACCATGCCACTCTTGAGGAAATTTTGGGATTTCGTCTGATGAACAGAATTGCCTCGTAATTAAAGCCCAGGTTAGGGAGTCCCTTGTTCAATCTTTGGATCCAAATACTATGGCATATTTTGATCCCCCGGGATTCTCTGAGCTTTTGCTTTTGTACGAAATTCGGCTATTGAATAACCAGCAACGGGCAACTGCAGTGCGATTTATTGTAGCAAACAAGATTGTATTGTCGGAAATTCGACTACCGCAATCGAAAGAACAAATAAAAATAACAGGAAATAAAAGTAGAAGATGAAGCGAGGTATGCCAAGACAAATCTCCTTAAGATGGATTTCGCCCCCCAACAACGTGCAAACGAGATTATGGATGTCTGTCTCCCAAGATACAACGCTTCTTTCAAAATCGATATTGCACAATATCAACCTTGTCAGTCGAACCAAAGAATAAACATACTCGAACGGAATAACAACG